GGAATAAATGTAACCAGAGAAACAAAGGACTTATACAAAGAAAACTACAAAACACTACTATAAGAAACCAAAAGAGACTTACAAAAATGGAAGAATGTGCCATGCTACTGGATAGGAAGACTTAACATTGTGAAAATGTCAGTACTGCCCAAAGCAATTTACACATATAATGCAATGCCAATCCAAATCCCAATGACATTCTTCAAATAGATAGAAAAAACTATTACAAACTTTTTATTGAAAGGAAAGAGACCCAGGATAAACAAAACAGTGCTTAAGAAAAAGAATAAGATTGGAAACCTCTCACTCCCTGATTTCAAAACTTGCTACATGGCTGCAGTGGTCAAAACAGCCTGGCACTAGTACAATGGAACAAAATCGAGAGTCCAGAAATAACCCATCCACATACAGCCAACTGAGTTTTGACAAAAGGCCTAAGTATATCGCATGGGGAGGAGATAGTCTCTTCAACAGATGGTGCTGGCAGAACTGGAAAGTGATACGTAAAAGACTGAAACAAGATCTTTACCTCATGCCTTATACGAAAACCAACTCAGCATGGATTAAAGACCTAAATGTGAATCCCAGAATTATAAAGGCCATCAATGAAAAAATGTGAGGGCTCTAATACAGGGCATACACAGACTACCAAACATTTTGAAAATTACACAAACAAAAGTAGACAAAATAGATGATTGGGACATAGTAAAAATTAAAGACTTAGTGCATCAAAAGACTTCACCAGAAGAGTAAAAAGGGAACCCACTGAATGGGGGAAAATCTTTTACAATGACACATCAGACAAGGGACTCATTTCTAAAATATATAGGAAACTACAGCACCTCTATAAGAAAAAGACAACCCAATTAAAAAGTGGGCACAGGACATGAACAGACACTTCACCAAGGAATACATTCAGGCAGCCAACAAACATATGAAGAAATATTCACGATCACTAGCCATTAGAGAGATGCAAATCAAAACAATGAGCTATCATATCACACCAGCAATAACAGCAAAGATCAAAAAAGTAGAGGACAATCAATGCTGGTGAGGATGC